CAGCTAGGCCATAGGCAGTGATCGGAGTAGAATCCCGATTCGGATGAAGCCTGACCTTACATTCTTTATTATTACAGTCACTTTACAGATTTTAGTTTAGCACATTGATTTTCAATGCTGTAGACCTGGTTTATTACCTTAGAGTTTAGGGAAGTAATTTTGTCTATGTACTTTACAGTTTCTTTGTTTTTTAATTTGCTGAGGGCTGTGTGTGCCATAGAGGGAAAGTGAGAAAGCACCCCCGCGGGCCGGTGGCCATGGCCGAATCTCTTCTCCTCTTGGGCTTTCGTGCATGTACATACATGTGCCCAGTGGAATTTTTTAAGCCTCTGGTCGGGGACTCAGAAGTGCACAGTTGGACATGGGAGATCCAGTCGCCTCAACCACGGAGCCACTGGCTGGTGCGTGTCTTAGAGTTTCTGAGAGCCGAGGGCATTTGCGTTCAGATTCTTGGGCATACCCAGCATTTTTGTTCTGTGGGTCATAAGGTGAGGGGGTAGTTTTTGCTTGTGCTGGTCAACATATGGTATGATTAACTATGATTTTTTTTAAATTACACTCTTGAAGTTGCAGAAAATGGTAATTAGATGGCATCTGCAGATAGTCATGCAGAAGTTTTGAAGACCAGTCAAGTTAATTTTAACATCAGATAGGCTGTGGTCGAGGATAGGCCAAAGGTGTGCGTTGTGACTATTCTACTCTGCTAATTAGGTGGAGTGTCTTCACCCTGGTGTCTGTTGACCTCCTGACCCTGTGGCAGGGCAGGGACTGGGGAAAGCAGTGAACAAGCCTCAAGATCTCTGTCTTTAGGATTTCAGTCCACAGGGGGATAGAGAAAGATAGTTATAAGGGAATAGTATGATTTGAGATATAGACAGAATGCGGATAGGGAGGGGTTGGGCTAGGTGAGGTCGGGAGGAGCCTCTGGGGTGAGCTGTAAGGATTGCTGGGACCCAAGGTCATGTTGGAGGTAGGACAGTTGGGCACAGTATGACTATCAGACTCTGTCCTGGATGCTTCCCTGGAGGAAATAGTGCTTCCATTTTGTCTGGAAGGTCTTTTCTCCCTGTCTGTGCAAGAGGACCTTGGCCTAGGACACCTTCCCTCACTTTCTGGTCTCCCCCTGTAATTTACTCTCCAGGCAGAACGGAAGCTCTTCCTTCCCCTCAGGTCGTTTCTTTCCCATCTTGCCTCCTGACTTGTTCTTCACACCACTGTAGTAATCTTAGACAGTCTTGTATTAGAGAATGAGGGGGACTTAACTAGATATTCGTAATATTCAGAGCTAAAGATGCCTACTTACAGAAACCAAGTTTTGCTGTTACTCTGGGTAGGAAATAGCAGAATTGGATATACCCACTTTTGGGCCAGAGATTATGAGTACAGGGTCTTTTTTTTTTTTTTTCCTTTTTCAGGAAAGGATTTTGATAGAAAAGTAGGGTTCTCAAAATTAAAAAGAATTCAGAATAGCCACATTTCTTAAAAAAGAAAGAAAAGCGATTGAGACCAGATATTGGGACAAACTTTGATTTTGCAAAACAACCCATTATAGCCTATTTCACTGCTATGTCATTTTATCAAAAAGGATATTTTAGCACCTAAAAGTAGGAAGAACCTCAAGTAAATGCTTCTTTATCCAAATGGATGTAAGTCCCATGGGGTTGTGTAAAAATCATTGGCTTAAGTCTCTTACACCTTTAGCTGTTGCCTAGTAAAAACAGTGTTGTCAGGATCCATGTTGCCTTTCTAGAGAAAGTGCTGTTCTGTTTTTTAAAGAATTATTTTATTTAACTTTATTCAGTTATTTATTTTCATTTGACTAGAGAGGGACAGAGAAAGTGTGAGAGCTTGAGAGAGAAAGGGTGTGTGAAAGCAAGCTGCCAGGTCTGGGACTCGAACCGCAGTCAGCCATGTGAAAGTTCAATGCTCCTAACCACCACACCACCTATTACTTCTTAAGTGACAATATTGCCCAAGGCTGGCCCTGCAGCCTGGTGCTTGAGGGAAGCCTGATTCTACATGACTGACTCTAGTTTGAATCCAGAACCTGGGGGCTTGAACACCACTGGGGGCATATGTGTGTTTGTGTGCCCCAAACCCTGACAAGATGGGGAAGTGGAGGAAAGACGATTGTAGTGTGACCACACCCCAGTGGTGGGGTGCTTTTTGTCTCTGTCTCTCTTTGGTGAGTATATATACTCTGTGGCAAATTTAAAAGGGAGGGGCAACTGGTGCGGTTAAGGTGGCTGGATACCACGTGGCCCGCGTTTCCAGTCCTGGACCCGACGTCTTGAAAGAAACATGAGGTGTGTGCGCACATGTGAGATGGAGAAGAAGGGATTGTGGTCGTGACCATGCCCCACGTGGGGTGCCTCTCACTTTCCCTCCTTTCCTTCTCTGTCAGCGCATGCACACCATCTGGCAATAAAGAAAACACCAAACCAAAACAAACACAATACATTGCCTGGGACATTCAGTAAATGCTTCTTCTTTTTTTTTTAAAGAATTATTTTATTTAATTTATTCATTCATTTATTTATTTATTTTTTAAATTTGATCAGAGGTGGAGGGAGGGAGAGGAGGAGAAAGCCACCAGGTCCAGGACTTGAACCGTAGTCAGCCATGTGGAAGTGTCCAGCACCTTAAACACCACGCCACCTGCTGGTCCCCAGTAAATGCTTCTTGCAGGAGTCAATGACACCCAGAAACATCAATCAATGATCAGTGCCACATCCAAATGTTGTTTAATGTCCTGGTTAGTGGAGTCATGAAGGTTCTTTTATGTAGGTAGCCCTGCCCTCAGAAAGTAGAATTTTGGAACTGTGAGGACCACCTTCTAGTAAGTAGACATCGATGAGCTGTGTATGCTGGTGACAGCTTTAAGGTTTGACTTAGACTAGAACTCCGGTCTCTGGAGTGTTCTAGTGTATTGCACCTGGCTGGTAACCAGCTCATGTGTTTATCCATTGTGATGGCAACAAAGAGAAGACTGAGAAGTGGAGATAAAACACTTCAGTATACTCTTTCTTCACCTTAATCTTTGATCTTCAGTCTTATTTAGAAAAGCCGTAGTGGTAAAGATCTAGTTTATTGAAAACTAAAGAAAAAAAGGAGTACTATGGGCTTTTTTCTTTTTTTTTTTTTTATTTGTGAGTGTAAAGAAGAGGAAGAGAGGTTTACTTCCCTGAGCCTATAAGGCTCTTGCTCTTAGAGGAAGTGGAGAGAAGGAAAGTATAAAGTGTTTTTTTCCCCAAAGAACTATTTTATTAACTTTATTTTTATTATTTATTTATTTATTTTTAATTTGACCAGAGAGGGACAGAGTGAGGGGGAGGAGGGGAGTAAGAAAGCAAGCTACCAGGTCTGGGACTTGAACCGCGGTTGGCCATGTGGGAATCCAGTGTCCCTAACCACCACATTACTTACCAGCCCATAAAATGTTTATTTTTCACATTGACCTGCAGGATTAGTTTGTATGTCTTTTTATTTTCTTGGGTAGAATGAACTGATTGAAGTTTTAAAGTACTTGGGAGTACTTGAAAACAATTCCTATAATGGCTGTAAAGGTGGAAGGTATTGGCTTTAGAGGTTAATTCTTTTCCAACAGTGAAAATTAGCTTCTAAATCAGAGCCTGCAGAGCTAAATAAAGTAATCCGTTTTCCACCTGGCCAATGTAGTACGCAAAAGGTGGATTAAAAAAACGGGAGGATCCACTTTCTGATGAAAGACTAAGCCATGTTGAAACAGCTCTCTCTGAGGCTTTTCTTTTAAATGTGCACATTGTATATGTGTTTCCCGATATGTTTGGGCTGGGACGTCCTCCTGAGGCTTGTGGAAAGCACACAGCTGGTAAACGCAAACTGGGGTTTGGACAGTGGATTGAGGGTTTAGCGTATCCTGAGCCGTAGTCTAATGAGAGTCTCCTGGCCAAGACGAGTGAGGAGTGAGCATCTTGGGGTATCCTGTGTTTCTTGAATGGGGGCGTTTAGGCCCTGTTTTTTATGTGCTTATGTTGTTTACCTCTATATGTTGTCTACCTCTATATGTTGTCTACTCTGTGTTCTTCTGAGTGTTTACGATTCTTGTATGTAGATTTATATATAAAGCAAGTTTAAGCACTGGGTGTAAAATTTTAGTCATCTTATTTTTCCCAGTTCTTCCCAATCTGTAGATTTGGGGAGGCGGTTTGTAGGATGCACAAGTGCATTTTAATGGAATTTAAAATGTATTCAGTTGAAATGAATAGTTTCTGTCCTAAAAATTGACATTACTACTAGACTTAAGTCAGAAAAAGTCATGCCTTAAGTTTCTTCCTGAATGAAATTCTGCTGATTTCAGAAGCGTACTGACTGTATAAAATGCCAGTGACTTAATTAGCAAGTGTGCTTACCAGGAAGCACTATATATTACATATTTAAAAGATTAAGTATTTATTTAATTTACTTACTCTTTTTTTTTTTTTTTTGAGTTTTGTTTTGCTATAGGGCGCGTGTGTTCACCAAGCAGACAGAGAGAGACAGAGAGACAGAAAGTGAGAAATCCCCCCCCCCTCAAAAGGGGGATGGCCACACCACAATCCCTTATCCTCCATTCTCCTCTCGGGACTTTGGGCACCCATGCACACGCGCCCGGCGTGAGTTTTAAGTCACCGGGTCTGGGTCATGAACCGCGGTCCACTACGTGGGAGTCCAGCGACATAGCCATTACGCTAAATGCTGGTCCCTTACTTACTCATTTATTTTCATTTATTTTAACTTGACCAGAGACAGACACACAGAGAAAGAGGGAAAGTGAAAAAGCAAGCCACCAGGTTCAGGACTTGAATCATGGTTAGCCATGTGGGAGTCCAGTGCCTCAACTGTTGTGCCACTTGGCACTATATATATATTAAAGAGCCTGAACTGGGTCCCTTTCCTCTCTGTCCCTGGGAAAGACCATGTGAACCCTCTGGACCAGTCTTCTGTGAGCGGGGCTAACTGTTGCTATGCTTTTCCTCTAGGTTTTGGAAGTCCCTCATCTCCAGATTGCTGGGATTGACTTCTTGCTCAACTGAATCACTCACTCAATGGAGACGAAGAGAACTAAAGCTTTGTGCTGATTCATATTTGGATCAAAGCACTGGAGAGTCTATGCCTTGTTTGTGCAAAGAACCTGTAATAGTCTCCATCCCTGAGATTCCTACAACTGCTGAAGATAAGTTAGAGGAGAATCTACTTGGTTTGGAACTAAGTGATAAGATCTGTTCTAGTTTTGAAGCAGGGCTACTGGAGGTGTGAGTGACTAGTCTTACAAGTGGCCTTATTCCAACTCCAGAGGTTCCCTCTTGGAACTCTGAGATCCTTACTTTCTATACAATCCCAAAGTGGCAGGAAACATGCCCACTCAGTCCCTCTTAGTGTACATGGACGGGCCTGAAGTCCTCGGCAGTTCTCTCGGGCCCCAGGTGGAGATAGAGGATGCCGTGTCGATGAAAGGGGCCGCTGCTGTGCCTTTTCGAGCTCCGCAAGACAAGAGCATCATCCAGCTAGAAGGGTACCTGCCCCTGGACTGCATGTTCTGCAGTCAGACCTTCACGCACCCCGAAGACCTTAACAAGCACGTCTTAATGCAACACCGGCCTACCCTCTGTGAGCCGGCAGTTCTGCGCGTCGAAGCAGAGTACCTTAGTCCTCTGGATAAAAGTCAAGTGCGAGTGGAACCTCCAAAGGACAAGAACTGCAAGGAAAACGAAGACCTGAGCTGTGAAGTGTGCGGGCAGACCTTCCGCGTCGCCTTCGACGTGGAGCTCCACATGAGGAAGCACAAGGACTCCTTCACCTATGGGTGCACCTTGTGCGGGAGGAGGTTCAAGGAGCCGTGGTTTCTGAAAAACCACATGCGGACACATAACGGCAAGTCCGGGGCCAGGAGCAAGCTACAGCAAGGCCTGGAGAGCCCGGTAACCATCAACGAGGTCGTGCAGGCACACACAGCTGAGAGCGTCTCATCTCCTTACAAAATCTGCATGGTTTGTGGCTTCCTATTTCCAAATAAAGAAAGTCTAATTGAGCACAGCAAGCGGCACACCAAAGACACTGCTTCCGGGATCAGCAGTCCCCAGACAGACACACAGCCAGAGGGAATGCCGTCTCCCAGGCAAGAGTTTCTGCAGTTTTTGAACTTGAGACCCAAGTGTCACCCTGAGACCACGAAGAAGCCTGTGCAATGGATACCTCAGCTCGATCCTTTTACTACCTATCAGGCGTGGCAGCTGGCTACCAAAGGAAAAGTTGCCGTCGCCCAAGAAGTGAAGGAGTCAGGGCAAGAAGGAAGCACTGACAACGAGGATTCAAGTTCAGAGAAGGAAGAATATGGAGAAATCTGGAGCGTGAGTAAAAGCCATTCGGAAGGTTCTGGAAAGTCCAGAACAAACAAGGGCAGCTGCACAGGCCTCTCACAAGAGAAGGAGAAGGCCCGACACTCCCATGGTGAAGTGCCTTCCGGGGATGCGGATGCCAAGGTACCCAGCAGTAAAGAGAAGCCGACACACTGCTCCGAGTGTGGCAAAGCCTTCCGAACCTACCACCAGCTGGTCTTACACTCCCGAGTGCACAAGAAAGACAGGAAGATGGGCCCGGAGTCTCCCCCCACGTCTGTGGACGGAGGGCAGCCTGGGATGAGCTCTCCAGACCTCACCACTTCCCTGGATGAAAATGGGGCCGTGGAGCGAGGAGAAGGTGGTTCTGAAGACGGATCTGAGGACGGGCTTTCTGAAGGGCTCCCCGTGGGTAAGATGCTCCGCTACTTGCTGTCCCCTATCTCCACGTCCGAGAATTTGCAGAGCTGTGCACAAGCCCAGGCTTTTTTTGGCCTCTTTGGTCATTCATTTTCCCATTTCTGTAATAGTAGTGTTGAGTTATAAGGCCTATCAACATTTTTCATCGTTGTGGAAGTTCTGTGATTTTATATTTTGCTTGCAAGGAGCACACATTGCATTTTGATAACTGCATCAGCCCAAAGTGATGTTTCTCAGCTGGGGCAATTTTGCTCCCAATCAACGACTGGCAGTGTATGGAGACATCTCTGATTGCCACAGCTGTGTGTGTGGGGGGTGTACACGTGTGCACACCTGCATCCCTGTGAGCTGCATTGAGCGGGCAGTGGCCAGGGTGCTGCTGCTCAGTGTCCTGCAGTGTGCAGATGCAGCACATCAGAGTGATCTGCCCCAGTGTCAGTTGGTGTCAATTCTAAGAGACCCAGGTCTTCACTTAGCTTTCCAGCTTTCCTGATGTTACCTGTAAAAACAAGCTACCCCATGGACGCAAACTTCCCTGTCCTTCTAGGCTTAGTTCTCACACGTTTATTCCAAATGGATTTCTAGTAGACACAGAGGCCACTGGAAGTGACTGTCAAGCAGAGCAAGATGTGATGGTTTGGGAGACCGTTGGGTGTGGTCCTCCACATCTGTGAGGCTAGTATCCATCTATAAATGTCTCAGTAACCTGGGCAGTTTAGGTGTGAAATGCAGGGGTGTGACCATACTGAATAGTTTCAAGAGCTCATTTGCTTGGTTAGACTTTGAGTGTTCTAGTGGCATTCATAGAAGCAAGCTGTCACCAAAGGCTTGCTCACCTCTTATCTCCTGTGCCCCCACAGGCTAAAGCTGTGTAGGGCAGAGGATTCCACCTTACTTCAACCAGAGCATCTCATAGTCCTTTAACATTTTGTTGCCTAAAAAAATTTTAAAAAGCGCTTGGCCCAGCCATGGTGTGGGGCACTGGTAGCGCCACCACTTGGGAGGCAGAAAGCCACATGGGAGGCCAGGGCAGTTGTATGCACCTGTGATCCTAGCTAATCGGAGGCCCTATTTCAGTCTCTTCTTTTTGTTCCCTTTCTCCCCCTTTCCTTTTCTGTAAAGGGAGAAAAAAGATCCCTGGTTTGTAGTTCGTAATCACAAATTAGTGCCAGAACATGAACTGCTCCTAGAGACGTTGTCATTTACAAAAGTGGTCTCCAGTTCAGACAGGTCCCTGCTTTTCATCGTTAGTGTAATGTTGTGTTTGAAGTGCTGTAAGAACTCTCAAGGGAACGCATGATAAATGTTGAAGTTTATTAGAGAGAGGGGCCCCCAGTAGGGTCCCCTTGCTAAGTCCACCCCAGAGTGGGCACGTGCATTAGAATGTACTAGGAGACCAAGGACGCGAACCCAGGCCCTCCCTGTGACTTCAGCATCACAGAGTGATGCGTTACTGTGTCACCGCGGCTGCCCTGTAGGATGAATTTGGCCGTAGGTTGTGTCTGACTCTCAGCCTGCTCTTCAGCCGGTGCCTGTTGCTTTCTCTGGTTCTGTGACTGGCGTGAGAGCAGTAGTTTTCAGACGGGTATGTAGGAGGTTGAGTTTCTGGGACATAGGAGCGCTAGCCTTTTACAGACAGTGAAGCTTCAGTTTTCAGAAATCTAGAAAACACCATGTGGTATTTAATGCTATCATTAAAAAGGCTCCGTGACACAGACCTCCAGTTGGCTGAGTGATTCCT